CGTGTGTGTGTGTGTAGGGGTGGGGAACATAGGGCGTGCGAGGGAATCTCCCTTTCTGGCAATCGTCAATGTTGACAGGTATGGAAGTCCGGGTTCCCGTTATATATAATCTGTACAGGTTAGGATAAGTCGGAAGTATCGGGGTCAGAATATGGAACGAACGTCACCTGTACAAAGCAACGAAAAACGAACTACGGTCCCAAGCGGGCTAGCATTCCTGTCACTCCGGTAAATCTTGGAATCTTAATTGATACAAACGATTAAAAAACTGAAAAGGCATTATCAGTTATCGCTCACCCCTAGTTTAAAAGGTCCCTTCTTGGAAACTCACATATTTACTATCAGTCAGTCATTGTAAAACTAGGTAATAGTAACCCTGAAACTCATGGGGTAACTTTAGGGAATTGGATATCAAAAATAAACTTACAGAAATAAAAAAAACAGTTATTGATCATGAGTAATTTTTATTTAATTTGTTCTTATATATAGCACAAAACTACCAACGTACTATAGTTTCTATAACTTATCTTAAAGCAATGAAACGGTTTCTCCACATTGTCTGTATTCCAAATACAAGTTTTTTTTTTTTTTAATTTTTCACAGAGAATTAAAAGATAGGGCCCACAAAAGTGTGTACAGGTGGCTTCATGTTAAAAAAATTGCTCTCCACCAGGTCCGTAGATTAATTATGTGCACATTTCTCCGTGTGTCACGAATTAGCCAGAGACATATCTGCGAATATCTAGTGAAAAATCAGTCTGGTAGAGGGTATTGAAGAATAGCACTTGTCCAAATACGGTCAAATTTGGATAACGATATATTTACCGTTGATCTGTTACGATATTAATGAGATCTGTTATGAAATGATATGTTTAATTACAGCTACATACGCCAGTGGAAGCTTTAAGAAAGAGGTCGACGGAAGCCGAATACCAAAAAAACCAACTATGAAAATACTCTTATGCCCAGGCGAAAACCGAAATGAGTTAAGTAGGACTTTCACGATCGCCGTCATTTTCATTACTGGTTTCTTTTTTATTCCAATTCAGTCAGAATTCTGCGAATATAGAGAATCTAAGATGGCCGTCAACAAGCTTAAAGTTATCATGTTCCTCGGGACCGTGCGGGAAAACCGTATTGGGGAACGAGTTGGGATCTTCATGAAAAAAATCTTGGAGGAAACGGACCACGAAGTGGAAGTCATGGGTAAATGATTAAAATTATAGATGTATTTTTTTAAAATGCCATATTTGCCAATTAAATTAAGAATAGTGTTATTATAATTTTTTTTCCAGAATTATTCTGCCAGTTTTCATTTTCAGTTCTCATTGCATTTCTAAAACAATTACTCAACGATCTATATTCACTGGTTATAAGAAAATTTAAAATTAATTTTTTTTTCTAAATAAGTTCAAATATTTGCATCTTACGCCTGTTATAAATGTTCAGTTTATTTATTTGCTGTTTTTTTTTTTTAAATTTTGACTCACTATCTTGGTAAATATAAAACAGTTGAAGCGGACCATTGTAATTATTACAATACACGTTTATGAGCAGACGGGTTCAATTTTCATTTGGTATCGTCTCTTTCTAATCGTACCATTTCCCCCACTCTCCTCCAGATCCAAAAGAGATCGACTTCCCATTGCTAAAGAAGGCCTTTCACCATTATGATGATCCGTCAGATGCGCCCCAGTTTTTACAGGACTGTAACGCCAAGATACAGGAGGCTGATGCTTTTGTGGTCGTCTCTGCCGAATATAACCACAGTATCCCGCCAGCTTTGTCCAATATGATGGATCATTTTAGTCCGTCAGTGTACGCCTATAAGCCGAGCGGGATTGTCAGTTATTCTCCGGGTGAGTGATCATTTTTGCGATTCTTCTGTGTGTGTGTGTGTGGGGGGGGGTTGGGGGGGCTGGGG